CATGTTTGTTTGCCATTAATCCTGTGACAGGCAGAGTGGAATCGTATGGAATCCGCGCTCCTTACGACCGCGTGGACAATCGCGGTCTGGACGAACCTCTGCCGGGCGAATGAGAGATTTACTCGGTGCATTCCGAATCTCAGCTGGTGAGAGGTGAGACATGGGCTGGTGATACGTTGAAACAGCAGGTATGCAAAGGTCAACGGTATGTCAACAGTTATTTGATAGCTTTCTCACTGAGACTTCATGGTTGGCATTTGTTTGGAAGTAAACTAAACTTTTGTACAGGATGCATGCATTCTCTTTGTTTTAGGTTCTCTTGCTTTGGTTGCTTGATTTTGGTGTCGTCAGATGGAACAGATATAGGGATGCCCACCAAACACAAAACCAGAAAGATAAACCATCCCAAACCCAAACTGTTTCGGTTTTGGATGGACTAGGCGCCATGCATGTCTCGCTTTTGTCCAAGCAGGCCTTGCAGAAATGCATCTGACTGCTGTGGGGAGACTAAGTTGCGCCTGACAGACGCTGGAAAGAGGAGACGCTGACCATAGGTGCTATGTCTGCTTGTTTCTGGGCATCAACAGCGGATAGGATGATAAATTCCTTGTCGCAAAGCAGCACATCTGGCTGAAAACCGGGTTTACGTCAAGCCGCACAGATGGCTCAAGCCAGCTTTGCGAAGAAATAAATTGCGAAGAAATAAATGCAACAATTACGAACTACAACAACAACAGCAGCAGCAACAACAACAACAACTCAACAATAATCCCAAATATGTTGTCAAATAGGATGAAAACAATGAGAACTAGGCAACAACACTGAAGATAACAGAACGACTACCGCAACCTTAAAATGCCTTGCCCGATGAAGCTCGTTGATGAGCGCGCTCGGTGCCTTCTGAATGTGAAGAAGGCCCACCTGAAGAGGTCGACTTTCAGAACAAGCTGGCGACTGCGGCGCCACAGTGTGGGAACTCGGCAACATTACATTGTACCATCATAAAAATTGTCAGAACCCTTTCAGGATCATCAATGGATTGGGTTTGCAAATATATTTTTTTGACAGAGCCCACCTGGCAACCAGCCGCGACACTGGCTTGGCGATGTTTTAGTGTGGCAAAGAGATATGGTTCTTGTCTCTGGTCTCTGGAAACGAAGCGGCCCAGACGATCAAGAAGGTGCTGATCGTTTAACCCCTTGAAAAAGAATCTGTAAACCTTTGGGTTGCAGGCCTGAACCAGGCGTTGGGTTAGCTGAGGACATGGGCTTCAAAGACTGGTGGCAGTCGAGTGGCTATCTCGATGCATTTGACCACTCAAGGCCATGGACAAAACACATGAAGTTTGAAGGAAGTGTTGGTGAGACTAAACGAATGGTTCAATGCGTCCAAACATGGATTCGCACATCCTTGTGGAAATGAAGTAGGGGTTTCCATTGAAGATTAAGGGCCCAGACTTGAGAAAGCAACTCATTCCTTGCCAAGATGGTTCACGAGGCTTTTTGCAGAACTGGTCTGGATTCGCCACCATGACTTGGAAACTTCTGAAGTTCCGAAGTCGATGCTCTGTAAACGAGCAGCCGGGCTTGAAACAACCGTTTTCTTTGGTGATTATCTTTCTTCCAAACTGTTGTTGTGTTGAAGATTAGGCTTTCGCATAAGCTTTGGAAATGAAGCAGGGGTTTCCATTGAAGATTAAGGTTTCGCACATCCTTGTGGGAAGTCACTCTTGCATCCGAATGTAAGCTGTGTGCAGAGAGACAGTTGTTTGATATTGATTGCGCATCGGCTTAAATTCACATTTATCATGTTTCTTGCATTCATGTCCCAGCAGAGGGCAGGTCGGCATCTCCAGTTCCACTTGAACTGGAATTGGAACGTGCGTCTCCAGTTCCACTTGAAATTGAATTAGAACCAGTGGTGTTCCTTGAGGGCTTGGATTCAGCTTTAATTCTGGTTGGTCAGATGGGAGATTAAATGTGAGTCAAAGCCAGTGGAGTGTTTGTGAGGGCGTGCGTTACATGCAGATGGCTGAGCGGAATCTTTTCGTGTCATCCAGTCCTAAAGGAAGCCATGGGCATTTGTTGTTTTAGAAGAAGTGGGCAGTGACTTTCACTTGTCCTTGCGCAGGGCAGGGCAGCAGTGTCTGGCTACGCACGAAGTGTTGCGCACGGCCCTGGCCAATTCTTTTGACGGTGGTCGCTTGACAGTGGCAGGCAGGTGTCACTGTGACAAAGCAAATTGCTTTCGGAGAGTTGAGCCAGCAGGTTCTGAGACCAAAAGCACCCAGGTGCCCAGGTGCCGAGGCGCATTCGAGCAAAGAACAGCTCTCGCTGTTCCTCATGGGCGTCAGTTTCTGTTGCAAGAGGGCTTGCTCCTTGGCTCATGAAGCCGGTAGCTTGTGTTGCGCAGGGACACACGGGCCGCCCCACGAGGTTTTCCCCAACAACAAAGAGAAGGAGGACGCGCAACAACTCTTGACCTATCTGTGGCTTGAAAGATGCAACGACTTGACGTTCCTCCAGAGTACGGTTTCTTTGACTGCTCTAGCTTCAATGCTGTGGCCAACACCGCAGGTTCTTTGAATGGCCATGCTCGCGGACAACGGATCTTGGAAGATTGCGCCAAGCACCCTGTGATAGGCTGCTATGGCAGTTTTCATCACAAGCGCTTGAGGGAGTGCTGCTGCAGTGTATGCGTTTATGATCGCATCCTGACTAGTTACATATTGGCGCTGGTATGACGGAGCGCCCTCTCTTTTCTTTCTGGCTGTCCGGGCCTGGGTGGCTTTATGATGCCTCTTCCGAAAGGCCCTCAGTCACAAAGCAGATTAAGGAAACCATGGGCCAAAGCCAGGCGGCCCAATGCATTTTCGTGGAGCTGAAGACGAATCAAATGATCGATGCTCGGCATCTTCGCCCTTCGCCGAATGGCCAGAGGTAACACAAGAAGAGGGCAGTTGGCAACTACTGCGCGGCCTATGTGGTCCAACTCACAAAAGTAAAAGCATGCTTCCGTGGCTGACAACTGATTGTTTTGCAATTGAAAAGTTGGGGAAGGTTCAAGTTGCAAACACCATAAGACACATAACCATCGACCTTTGAATCCGCTTAACTCCGTGGATCGCAATATCTTGTATTGTGGGGTAGCTGTGATCTGACCTCCGTTATTGCTGGCCGTGCTGAGGAGAGCTGGGAGCAAACGTTCGCTTGTCAGATGTCATCGCAAGCGTGCTGAGCTAGGGCACATGGCCTCCGACTGAAAGAGCTGGCCTTGGAAAGGTGCGATATCATGGGCGGAAATTGTCAATATGTAGCGCTTTGCTCCTCTTCAGGAGCATCGGTTCAACACTACCAGTTGCGAGAGCGGGGCGCGTCCTACTTGAGACACAGGAGAAATATGTTTGCTTGTGCTCCGACCAGAGCGTTGGTGATTTCGAGACGTGTTCGAACCACATGCAGGAAGGCAGCGCAAACAGTGACGGGTGCATGCTCCAGTGTGCGGCTGGCCTGTTTCTGCACCCAATCAGGATGATTTTGTGCCAGCCCAGAACATGAACCGAATTTAATTACAGTATATATCCAGCGCCAGTTTCACCAGACGTTTGTGGCGTTTGTCGCCTGGAGCCAGTCAAACCGGATAAGGTCTAAGAATTGGCTTGGTGGCATGTGGGGCGCGCAGGAAATTGAAAATGCAATTCAAGCAAAGCTCAATGGGAAACATGCACTTTCGCATGGCCCAGGTTAAAATCAAATCTAGGCCAACCTGCTACCCAAGTGCAGCAGCGTGCGACCGCTCCTCCCTCCTTGCTCCCGCGCTTATTAATTCAAACCTTGTTCTTGCAGCTTTGAGGTAGCTTTAGCTTGGTGCTGCGCTGCTTACAGGCAGGTGAAAGCTGCCTCTTTTGCAAAAACCCCGCCCACCTTCTGCCTGCCCTGGAATTTGGTGGCCTGCCAGCCTTGCAGGGTGGTCCTGCAAGTCTGGCTTGGCCCTGTCTGTCAAGCATTGCAAGAAAAAGGGTGCAAGGAGTGTGGGGAGGGTTGCCAAACATTCATCAACTTGGAAACTTTAGGGCTCTCACTTTTCGAGGACCCAGGAACCGACCACCAAGGTTTGCCTGTCTCAACCGCGTCCCTCATAAAGTGTGACAGCCACGCCCTGGCTGTTTCGGTGCGACACGTCTGTCAGGGACACCGGAGCTTGTTAAGCCTGAGTTGGTTGCCAACACTGGGTGTCGGAAAACCTGGTCAACGAAAAACTGTGTTTGAGGTCCACTTGTTTTCTTGCACGCTGATCTTTCGGAATTTCGGACTGTGGAAAAAGATCGAACTTGCAGCCGTGGAACGACTCATGTATCTCCAACGTACACCTTTGATGCCCCTGGTCACACCATTGATGCCCCTGGTCTTCACGATGCTGTATCCACTTCTCCAAGCACACTATCAATCATCACAGATTTAACATGTGGTTGACAATCAAGTTTCAAGCGCCCAAAACAAACACCAATGAATAAAGATATCAGGCCCATCTCAAACCAGGCCTTCCCCATGTCTAGTTGACCCATTTATGAAGCAACCAGCCTTGCCAAACAAACCTTGCTCAACCAACCTTGCCAGACCAACCAACCGTGCTTAATCAAGGAGCCTTGCTCAATCAAACTGCCACCAAACCGGTCTTCGGTCGGATTCCTGGAAACACATATTCCGCAGTCACTAAGATCCCACAAACCTGGGGAACCACATCATCCCAGTTTTGGGTCATGCAAGAAGAGGCTTATTCCCATCATGGGATTGGTGATGTAACCTCACCATACTTGATCAGGACTTGGGTCTCTTTCATCCGCAGGATGCACCGTTCTATATGGCCGGGGTTGGGGACGGCATGAGTGGTTTCTGGCCAGGAGTTTCCACATGCCAGAAACCACTCACTGCTTCCACCCTGCATATGTTCAAACCATGCAAACGAAAACATTGCGGTGCCTTTTCAAGCGCGGAAGCGAGGCAGTACACTCACAGCCTTCGCTGGGCCTTCTCCCAGTTGGGCATTGGAGGGACCAATATCGAAGCTGTGAATGAGGCGGAAGGGCTTTACAGCGACCTGGCCAATCTCAAATCCCGCAGCACCCCAGAGTCCTTGTAGTAGGCCCTACTGAACATGACTCAACTGGGGAGTCGAAGGATGAAGTTCTAAAAGGTGAGGCGAAGTCATGGAGACTTTGAGAGAGGAAATGGGAGGTAGTCAGAGGTGACTTCATCTAGTTTGATGCAAAGCAGACTTTGCCCTAGCGGATTCGTGACGGAGTAGGAAGAGATTTGTTGGGATGGGTAGCGTTCCTGCACAACGACCCAGGTGTGGTGGTCGCGTTGGTCTCGTTGATCACCTTTTCGTCGATCATCAGTTCAATGACCTCCTTGTCGAGTACCTTGCAGAACAAGCGGATGGAGCAGAACCTTGGAAGGTGAAGAACACCAGCAAAGCCTTGGGTCAACAGATATATATGTTGTGCAAAAAGCTGCGGATGTAAACACTTGGCAAAACCATGGATGTTTACCCAAAGTTTGTTTGGAACCAACCAGCGAGGGTGGCCACCTGAGACCCCAAGTTTCGGTTCCCCAACCTAGCCAAACAGTTGATTCGTGGGACTCTGCGACCGGCAATGTGAGGACCCAGCAGTTTGGCCTGCTGCGACGCTTCCTCCGCATGAACAAGATCTCAGAGAATTTGGGCCAGCGACCCTCGGAGAAGACGGAAGGGAGCAACGGAAATGGATGGGACACACGGCGAAGTGGTAGTGGTATGAAGTGGTAAATCAATTATGGTGTATCCAGTCCCTCGGTTTCGGAAGGATCAAAGCGGTGCGGGCATATCGAAGTGTTGTTTCACACGAGATGACTTTCGGAACTGGTTTCTTGCACGCCCCTCGCGTGGACTTATAACTTATAACTGACGATATAAACACCACATTTGCACCGAGTGCTGAGTACCTTGCATGTGTTTGATATGCTCAGTACACTCTCACAATGTCTGGATGTGTTCACAGCCACTACCTTCATCTTGCGGCTCTTCACCACGCCCCAGGTATCACGCGCTTTCTTCACTACACTTACCATCAGAGGTCAGCAAATGTGGATGATCCATACATCTTAGACTTTCTCTCGAAATCCCTTCAGGCCTGGACCCGGCGAAAGGGTTGGGTCTGGGTTAGACCCGGACTCGGGCCTGGGCGACGAGCGAAGACCTGGTGAACGAACACCTTCCTGGTGTAAGTTTTGTGTAAGAGTTCTCCCAGTAGGGAGGCCCTTTAAAGTATGGCTCCGTCCTATTTCAAGAAATCAAGATGGGAAATCTTTTGTTGCACGAATGGACCTTCTGCAGCCCAACTCACAAGTCCAACGTGTTTTTTTCATTTTTTTTCAGATGAGCAGGGACCTGCCATGCTCACAGCGGACCAAGAGAAGCTTAGAGCAAAAAGCCTTGTAATTGAATCTACGAAACATCTGTCTCATGCACACACACACACACCACCCAAACCGCATAGCTACAAGCACAGCTACCAGGCATGGGGGCACGCACCGGGGCAACCGGCTCTTAAGGGCTACAGCTGCTCACACGCAGAATCAATTCAACCTGGTGCAGATTTGTTCGGAACATCTCCACCATTTGGTTTTCGTGGCGCTGCCTCTCGAGAGAGGCAGAACTTCAGCTCGCACGCTACAATGATTATCTCAGTCAGCTGCCTAGAGAGATCAGATGGGAGAAGCTATTGGGGGAAGTAGACTCTGAATAGACTTTAATAGCCCTTCATCAGAGCGATATGCTGCTCTGTGAATCACTACTACTGCTTGTATATGTTGGCAACAGGACTTATGCGTCTCAGGGCTCTGCACAAGATGGACTCACGGGTCTGTGGAGTCCTCACGGTTCACACCCAATTGGTGGGGTGGCTGTGTGTCATCCAAGGCTACTCGACTGAGTTCTTGCTATGCAGATTGCAGGTGGTATGAACAGACTTTCTAATCCAAAAGGTGCTCAAACAGAGCCGAACCCGAAGATGTTCACCCCATGCCGAGTGGTTGCATCGCACTGCTCCAAGCGATCGTGTTCGATGATTGGCTGTTCCACTCGGATCTCGCAGCAACTCTAAGGTAAGATGCCTTTTCTTGTGGCCCGGCAGCACATTGTGTTTCTCCATGTTCCTGTCGTTGTTGATTGCAATGGCTTCGGTCCTGTTGAAGGAGGCTGGCACCAGCCCAAACCACGCAAAGCACGAGGAATCAACCCAAACGCTGCGGGTGACATGTCTTAAGTCATTTGGCCAAGACCTGGACGGTTTCGCGGTTCCAATGTCCCAAGGCAGCCATCTTGAAGCGGAGCAACACCCTAAGCCTTCAGGAAGGCGACTCGGTGCGGACAGTCCTTCGTCGAACGTCGTTCACGCGGGCGAAGAACGAGACGAATCGGTTGCACAGTTGGGTTCCCATTGTGTTGTCTCACATGGGTTGTGAAGAGATGCCGACTTCGCAGCAAAGCATGTGGCGGCCGTTTCAGAAAAGAAAGACAACTATAACAAAGATGTAAGAACTCTTCCACAGGGATCCAGTAGATTTATCATCACGATCTTCACCGTGTACCAACACGGCACTTTCTAGAGAAAAGTTCCGGGGTAGTAAACACCCCACAGCTTTCTTTTGGGTCAAACACCTAGAAACAATATTACAAAATACATGTCCCTTTGTGCCGGTCTTTGAGGTCATGTTTTGCAAACCCTGGCCAGCCAAGCGATCTCTTCGCATGACTTTGCAGAGGACGATGTGCCGTGGAAGCACACTAGACGACGGCCGAATACGGCCGAGAAAACATCAGAGTAGACCAATAGGGATTTGTGGGGGCAATTTTTGGAAACATTTAGGCGTTCAACTCCAAGAAGGCGAGCCAAAGCCTTCGACTTATATAATCAATAATACCAGGAAGCATTCCTCCACGGCTCCCGGCATGCTTAACAGTTCGATGACGGTGAAGAGTGTTGTTTTGAGACATTACAGTAGATGACCAGCAGATAGAATATACAACCATAGCGTTTTGAATTCTAACTGCTAGTCTATGAGTGTAGATCAGAAATGGTGTCAGCTGACAAAGCACGGACGACATCCCATGCTGGTGGATCGGTGCCCTCAGTTGCAGCTTAAGTTGCCTTGGTTGAGTTGGATGGTCTTTAGTCCAGGATTTGGGAACCCCTCCCCCAGCCCCCCCCCAAAACACATGATGACAATACATTTCTTACACCATTTAGGGTGAATTGAGGATTCTTTGCTGATTGCTGATGTTGTACGAATCGATTTCAAGCCACCCAGGGCCGTCGCTCGGCCTGGGTTGCTGCATACGGGGGCTGTCGGCTGAATCCGTCCGGGCTCGGTCTACTGGGCTCGTCCCGCGTCCAGCTGGGCTCGGAAAATTCAGGTCCTCTTTTGTTACGGGAACCGGGCCACTGCAGCATACTACGTGCTGCAAGGCTCAACCCTATACCTGCAGAATGAGCCTTGGTCGTCACCTTTCATGGGTAGGTAGGTCCAGACATTGGTGATTTATGTTGATTTTGCATGGGGAAATCCGTTGGTTTCCATGGGGAACAGTTTCCGTAAGTCGTAAGTCTCTACAAACCTGTCGGGTTTGTTGGATCACATATAAACCTCTCTGTAGACTGGTGGGACAGTCCCCGACCACACACGAGAAACATTCCAGTTCCGATGAGTTGATGGGTGCATAATGAAAAAGAAAGAATCAAAGGCAGTCGTGATGGAATTCCAGACGCTGGACTTAATTAATGGGTCGAATAAAATCTGATCTTGACCACGAAATCTCTAGGACTGTCGGGGTTTTCCATTCTTTCTCACCTCTCAGCGTGGCCGTTTGAGCCTTGGGCGGCCGACTCCTTGTGACCGCAGTCTTCGACCTGGGTCTGTCCGTTCTTACCTGTAACAGTTGTGAAACACTTATCACTATTTTGGAGAAGGGCCTGGTCTTACCTAAAACTCACCAACCATCATCCACTCTTACTGGTAATGGGATAATCAATAATGCTATACCCAAGGTACACAGCCCATTCTACTTCATGTTCACCGCACGGCTTTCAGCTGAGGAACGCACGGCTCGTAGTCCTCCGCATGAGCTTTGGATCTGCGAGATGTGCCTCTGGCGTCTGGGCAGTGAACACGTGGACCCCGTCGCGGGGTGTGCGCGGACGTGAGGAGGAGGAGGAGGAGGAGGAGGAGGAGGAGGAAAGTGAGCTTTTTTCGGGTCTGAGAATCAAGGCGCTTGAGATGGACCGCACTTCAAACGGAGAGTGTGCCGCATGTCGGCTTTCTTTTGGAAAATTCCTTTGGAAGTGAGACCATCTTGGAGGTCGGTGGGACAGTTTGTGTGGAAAGGGACCTGTAAGCAGAACACGGATGACATCAGGCTGATGGTTGACAGCTCGATGAAGGGTATGTTCCGGGGTTGAATTGTGTTTCTTCACCCAGGAGAGGGCAGACGAATCAGACCACTCCCCCCAGAATGTTTTCTCAGTGTATTGCAGTGTTTCCTGGCCTTCCTCTACCAAGCGCAGCCGGTTTGCTACAGCAGAGTGCTGTTCCTTCCAGCGGCCGAACGCGAAGCCAAGGACACGGTGGACACATCTCGGGGACTTGCTCAGCACAAGCTTCTGCAAAATCCTTGCGGTCCACGGGAAGGCAAGACTGTCCACCCTGCAGATTGCCATATTTGCATACTGCATACTTGTGCCATCTACTCTGAAGCCACTGTCAACCAATCAAAAACGCCAGGGACGAGGACGACTCCTTTCCCTTATAGACAGCTTCAGGTCTCGCTCCTTCCGGTGGACTTCAATCCTTCCGTCCCGGTCCGTCCCGCACCGGTGCACGCGCCATACGTTTCAGCACTCGAGGAGTTCTGCGAGATCATCTCCAAGGCAGGTCCAGTCCAGGTGCACGCGCACAAATACGCGACCGACTACGTGGAGGAGCTGCGCCTCGGACCGGTGAACATTCAGAGCTGCGCGCTCTAAACGCGACGCTTTTGTTTCGGATGGGAAGGATTCAAAAAACTGGGAAGCAATCTGCTTCAAAGCTAACTTTTTAGGCCAGAACTCCAGGACCCAACGCTTTTGGTTCTGGTACTTCAATGTACTTTCATCCCCAGTCTATATGCCAGTTTCACAGACGATGACAAGTAGTTAAGTAGTAGTAGTAGTAGTAGTAGTAGTAGTAGTAGTAGTAGTAGTAG